TCTCGACTCACCAGCAGCCGGAGCCGGAGCCCGGGCCGGAACAGGAGCCGGGAACCACTCAGGGCGGGCGGTCGTGGTCGCAACAGGGGGAGACAGGAAAAACGGAAGTCCAACCAAGGAAACAGGCAAGTGATGTGTGATCGGGAAGATTTTCGTAGCTCGGGATTGTTGGGAGAAGACAAAGAAGCTTCGGAGGACGATTCTCTTGGTTTTTCCCCTCACGCTCCTCGTGCGCCTGCTGTTAGAGCCGCCCCTTCCATGCATTCTCTGGCGTTCAAGTTAGCCAACATGCAACTCCGAGATCATTCAGTTGCTGTGAAAGGTTCTGTCCCGCCCCTTGTTGTTCAAGACCCCCCCGTGCCTTCCATGCCTCCGAGAGACCGTGCTGATTCGCCACACCGTACGCCCTCACAAGCGTCTACTTCCGCTTCCCGTACTGAAATGCTGTTGGAACAAGTACTTTCGCTCCTTCGATCCCAAACGCCGGGCCATGTTGTGGCCGACGCCAACGCCGATGTGCAACCGCTTGCGCCTCAACCCTCACCTAGACCGCCGCTTTTCTCATCTATTTCGCCACGAACGGAGTTGGTCCCGGGGCGGGGTCATCCTTCGATTTTTTCTGACTCTACAGTAGGCACAGGGACACCTGCAGGACTCGCATCCATCAAGGCGCAGGAGGCACCGCGTTCGGAGGAGAAGATGGCGGTTCCAGTCGCCGCGGCCTCCCTCTCGCAACCTTTGCAGGAGCCCCCCCCCCCCCTTCAGCGTGTGTCTCTTACGTCTCAACCCGTCCTTACAGCTGACACCGTTGTCTCGAGGCCGGGGCCAGGCGCATCGTTGCAGGCCCGGGACGACGCTGGTTTGCCTCTCTCTTCCACGGGAGCACGAGCGAGACAAGACGCTTTGGATGCTGCGGACGCCTCTGCAGCGGAGGCTGACATCATTCGCATTCAAGACAAGATGGACAAGCTCAAGCCGGATTCCCTTGACAGTATTACTCGCTTGCCCCTTGGCCCCGACCCTGATGAATTTGCTCGCTTCGCGTTTAGCTGCCAGGCGGCGGTCATCGAAATTCTCGACAAAAGCGATGTCAAGAAACTTCAGACTTTCACCTCCCCCACCTGGGTCCGCGGATGGCTTCCTTTGTTGCGCAAACGTGTTCGCTCTGCGGTTCTTGAAGGCCAAACCACCAAACGTGCCACCATGGAATTCCTCGATGCCACCTTTCAGCAGGT